TATATATATATATATACGTGAAGGGAGAGATAGAGAGAGAGTGCGGAGAGTTCGGGATAAGAAAGGAAAGTGTTCTCTGTGTTTCTGTGTGCATGTGTGTCGTCGTCGTCGTGTGCTTTCGCGTGCATCGATAAAGAGCATCGGTGGATCTCCTGAGAGAAGTTCGTGAGGAAAGGTAAGCTCCGGGTGAAGGTCCGCTTTCTCCTTACGATAATTTTGCCGATTCCTTTCGATTTCTACTTCTATCTCGAGCATCTCGCGAAGCATCCCGATGAAAGATAGACCGATAGCTGAATGCTGCTGGTGCGAGAGCAGCTTGTCCACCCCGCTAGGAGTTTCGGAGCACGTGCCTAGCGAGTTTTCGTGGCACATTCTCATTCTCACCCTTTGCTTTCTGCGTGCTTTCGTCGTCGTTCTTTCCCTTCCTCCGCTCCGCTCCCACCATCATCGTCATCCTCACGATCGCCACTTGCCTTTATCCTTTTCCCCTCTGCTACGTATTCCCTTACGACAGGCAGGGCGAGAGTTGCTGCGTTTTTGCGTGTGGCTCGTGTGTCATGCGTGCGTGCGTGTGTGTTTTCTCGCGGGGAAAGGGGCGTACGCGAATGCGGGAGGGGATTCCCTTGGAATTGTACCGAGAGAGGAAGGGGTCTCGTGCGCACACCAGAGAGAAAGGAGAGAAAGAGGGAGACAGCTCCCGAACTCGCGAGCGAGCGAATGAACGAACGAGCGAGCGAGCGAGAAAGATAGCGAGAAGGGCGCGGGAGGGGGTGAACCAGCGAGGCAGAGACCGAGGAGTCGCGCTCGTATTGATCGGTCCCGGCCACGCGATTTTCACGATCCGTCGCCATGGCCACCTGGCCACCGGCCGAAGATCGTATCTGTCAAGTGTACGTGAAAATCGAACTTTAACCTCACCCTCCCCTGCCTAGATTCACCTGCCGTTTACCTTCGTTCGAAATTTGTATTGCCTTTGAGCAATTCGCCGAGGAACAACCCTCTATCGTTGCCTTCATTCTTATTCATTCGTCGGTTCCATTACGCGAATTATTTATTACTTTACGCTAACATTGAACGACACGATCGTGACGCGGTCGTTGGATAGCTCCAACGTAGTAAAGATGAGTTTAACAGAGCTTGACTTCCTCAGACTAAGCCGTCGTTAAGTACTCAGAATCTTATTCTCGATCCAGGGAACTTAAATTCTTCCAAGTTGAAATTGAAAGGGTTGGAAAGGACAAGAGACAAATGTATCTGTCACGGAACGATTACGCGGGAGACGGTCGTAGATAAAGTTCGACTTCTGCGAGGCCCGAGGTCTGGCGAAAGGGGGTGGCTTTCCGCATTGTGTTGCGGGCAACCCCAGCGTACTGTGCGTACACGCGAATACGCAACCATGCACAACGTCCATTGTCGTTGGATAATGACGGTGGCGCAGGAGTCGCGTTTCGAAGTCACCGGCGAACGATACTTTTCCGATGCGTCGTCCTTCTCGTCCGACAATGGGGTCTCTCGGCTTCCATTGTGCCGTCCTAAAATATCGCGATGTCGAGCGTCGGAGTAACAGAGACGGAGAGAACCGTGGATCGATAACTACGGAAGATGCGGGGCTACGATAACTGCTAACTCCGACATTTTCTCCGACTGCTGAGCGCGCTTGTTTTTCTCGCCTCGTTCGTAAACACCATCAAGTCCCACCAAACAATCTGTTGAAGAATACCGTCGTCACTTTCTTAAACAGGGTCCGTTCTTTAGAGTAGTGGACGTGACGTGACAGTCTACGGATCACGTTCTTCCTCCCTTATTAGAAAGAAGTTGACACGTTAAGGTTTTCCCCGTCTAAAGTTAATGGTAACTTCGAGCTTGTATGATATCCTCTGTTGTAGAGTCTCGTAATATCGCTAGCCAGAGGGAAGGTGTCGATTGAAAATTTCGTAGAATGTTCGAGTTAGGCTTCTCCCTTCGAGAATCCCGTGTTCCCCGTTCTGGTAATAGGAAATTCTTGTCGCTGGAAACCTTTGGAACGTTTCCCTCCTACTACAACACCAGAAGTGTTACGCTCAACGTGTTCGGGGCAGAAAATTTCGAATTAACAGCCGGTCGCCGTTCCCAGTTTCTTTCTCCCCATGTCTCGCGTTGAGCACGGCACGCTCGATGCATATAATAAAAGCTATTTATCGTGTATAATAAAAGATATCTCATGAGAGAACGTGGTCAGTCCGACTGGGGTGACCACAGCCATGAGACACAGAGACATTCCCTGCGTTGATGGGGGGAGGGGGGGGGAGAGGGAAGTAACCCTAAGGACAGCTGATGACTACGTTAGACGACTGACAGAGACGGGAAGGGAAAGAGAGAATTAAAATGTACACCACCGGTAGCTCGTGCCTGATATATGTGTCGTGGCAGCTGTGTGTATTCGCCTTAACCATGAACACCATTGGCACCCTACGGCCATCGCCTATAATTCCCCTTTCTCTCTTTCTCTTTTTCCTTCTCCTTTCATTTCGCTCGCTTTCCGTCCTTTTCGCTTGAGGCGTGTGTGCTACCACATACTGGGTGTCTTGATTGAAATTACTCAAGTACTTTTTACTTGTGTGCGTTGAAACGGCAGTTATCGGCAGTCTTTTCAGCTTCTTGAACTGAGAAGGAAAAAGTTACTGCTAGAATTAGCGATTTCTTTCAGTTTTTTTTTTCTTTTTCTTTTTTTTTTTTTTTTTTTTTTAAGTATCATTTGTTACCTTTTGGAAAGAGGAAATTTCGAAAGGGACTGAATCGGGTAGAAAATTTTATAAAATTTCGAAAGGCAGAAGTTCGATCGACATTGGACACCCTGTAAACGCATCGAGCACGGTGGTTTGGTTAGAAAGACGGAAGGGGAAGGCAACGAGGGAGGCGAGCCCTTTAAACCAGAAAGGGGAGTCGTCGCCCTTTTAAATTATCCGCGTTTCTATTGGACCTTACCCTCGTCCCTACCGACCACCACCTCCGCCTGTTCTTTTTGCGCTCTGTTTTGAAAGTCATTGTCAGATTACGTCAGCATCCAGTTGCGTGAACGATGAATTTTCGTAAGTTGCTCGTGACCCGTGTCGCGCGCCTTGCCTTGCCTTCTCCAGCTGCTTTTCATT